AGACAGACAGACAGACAGACAGACAGACAGACAGACAGACAGACAGACAGACAGAGATTATGTTGACACGACTTCGGCATCTACGTTCAAGACTGCTTAAGGTCAAAATCCCAGTTCTGATGGCAACACAACTAACCACGCGGCGTATTTGACCTTATCAAACCGCAAAACGCAACACCAAATCGTGCGACGACATGTGAGAACTCACAGCCTAACTAAGTTTGCTCTTGGTGAGGAGAAACACAGCGACACTACAACGGCCATTCAATGTAAGGCTTAGTTTTAATAAGTGTTTTACGGCACTTTTGTTTTAGTAGAGGATTCACGGCGCTCCCAGCTTCATAAAAGGTCATTATTATTATGAGCGCCAAGGGGTGGATGTCAACAGAGAAGTCCTTTCAGGGAATCAGACTTACTCTGCTCACCTCCCTAGCTTAAACAGCACAAAGTCCGCCTCGACTATCAAGGCACCCCGGAAAGAGCGGGTCACAAGAGTGTGATAAACATACAAAAGAAGTAGAGGAAAAATGACGACACATAAAGAAAAGCAACACAATAAGGTCATACAACTGTAGAAGATTAGAGGTGTTACAAGAGAGTAACAAACACAAAAAAAGAAGGAGGGGAGATAAAGACGATATGTGTTTGATAGAAAAGAAGAAGCAAACCACATCAGAGCACCCCCAACCACCCACTCAATGTAAGGAAAAGAATACATTTTTAGAAACAAAACAAGGATAGAAAACAATAAGGTCTACAAGTGAAGCCCTCCAATCACCTGCACAAATGCTTTTTCTCTCTCAAAAACTTCTTTTAAAAAACCAAAACATTTATTGTCGGGGTGGTAAAGTTGTTTTGTGAGAACTACGATGAGTAGTCCTGGCAGCAGCCCCGAAAACAGAATAAATCAATCATACAATGCAAACAAGCAAAACGGACAGACAACACCAAATTATGAATTAGTTGCATATGACGCCTTGCGCTGTTATTCATTTCGTCGCCGTCATTCAAAACTAGTTTGTCAAAATTTCAAGCCCAAAAATCAAGTATGTTGTAGAGTTTCATGGAGGCACATCGATTTGTCAAAGTCACAGCCCTCTCCTAAATTGTAAAAAAAACTTTAACTAATTAAACATTTTCTATTAATACGTCATGCCCGAAAAAAAAACCTGTCTTTTTTGCTTCTCATGATATCCCCGCATTTCGTCACACAACA